CTCTTCCCATAGGACAGTGGGGGTCCCCACGGTGCTGCCAACCCGGCCCCCCACAGGTGGAGTGCCCCTTTGATTGGGACCCAGCACTGAGGAGCAGCTGTCCTTGGGAGCTGGGGGAGAAGGACCAGGGAGTGCCCAGCTGCTTCATTGTTTTCAAAATCTTTGGAGGAGGGGCAGAGAACTCCACCGGGGGGAGCAGAGCTGGGGCCTCCCTTCTGGCTCAATCACAAACTGTGACCTTGAGGACACCCGCCCCATCAGGTGGCCTTGATGGTGGGGGGATTCCACACCTGCTTGCTGTGGTGCTTGCTGGGACCCGTATCCTCCATTTGGGGGTGCCCCTATAACTGCTGGAGACCCCAAAGAGCAAAGCAGCCAAGATCACCATCTGTGCTTTAAGCAGCACTGGGGTCGAACTTGCAGCTTCATATTGGCTAGGCAGGGGCCGTAGTCCCTACATCACCTTCCAGCCCATCACTTCCCTTTTAAACCTCCGTTTTCTCACCTGTGAATTGGGCAGATGGAATGCGCCCAGAGAGAACAGGCTTGTCCCGCACATTTCGTGCACCAAGGCTGCCGTGCCCAAGGCCTGCAGGTTCTGGGCCTCATGCACACATCTGCCACCCGAGTCTCAGGCAGCTCAGGGCACCTCAGCGGGCCTGGCATGGCCCCCTGGCTCCCCACAGCAGTGCTCCCCCAGGCCTGTCTGCCAGGGCTGAGTGCAGATGCTCCCTCTGCTCGAAGCCCCTCTCCAGTCCCTGCAGGACCCTCACTGCAGACTGGTGGTGCGGATTCTCCCACGTGGCTCCTGGGCGGCTCCACTGTCCTCATTGCTGCGGGGTCCCTGGGCAGCCCCTTCCAAGGCTTTGCCCCTGATTCAAACCTGTGAGCTGCACAAGAGCCTCCCCTGTCCTCAGTGAGTCTGACCCCCTTTATCTCCTCTAGCAGTGCCACCACCGGCCTGACCCGAGAAAGAGGTAGGGTCATGCTCAGCGCTGCTGGCTCTTGCCTCAGACTCCCTACTCAGGTAACGGGACCCGCTCTGCCACCCACACCTGCCCTAGTGCACCTCCGGGGGTCCTTTCAGCACCCCAATTTGCTACCCCCAGCTCAGAACTTGGGGAGAGGCCTGGGTGTGCGGGGGCTGGGGGTGCCACTGATCCTCATCCTGAAAGCCAGCACATGGGGTCCCCGGGATGATGGCACAGTGCCTCTGCGTCAACATGCTCACCCGGGCAGGGGCCCTGCCAATGTTCCCCGTAGCTTGCCCGGGCTACTCCCCAGCCTTGCACACACCAGCAGCCTTGGTGTGTCCCAGGTTCTCTCTGGGACTTCAGGGGTCCCCTGGCCAAACTCCAGGGCTGGGTCCTGGATTTAGGGATCACTCGGACATTTTGGAAGAAATCCTCGTCTGTGGCCTCAATATGGTGTATGAAGCAGGCCTGGGGGGCAGGCGAGCAGCCTGGTATTGGGGAAGGGGCAGGCCTGGGCCAGGAGCAGGGGGAGGCCCTGTCCTCTGGTTCTTTGTCTGCTCTGACATAGAGGAGGCCTGTCGGGAGCCCAACCCACCCATGTGTCCCCCCCACCCCCCACTCCATGAGGCTATGACAGACCTCATCCGTACCCTCCTGGCTCTGAACTCGCCTCTCTGGCCCCCATTTCCCCTACTGCCCAGTGGGGTGAAGTCAAGAGTACAGGACCCCAGCTGCTCCTCAGGCCCAGCTTTGGTCCCTGGAGGCATCTGCCCCCCCCGGAGAGGAAGTGGGAGCCCTTCACAAACGTTGGGCAGTGCTGGTGAGTCGGGGGTGCGGGTCCTGGGCTCTCAGCCTCGCGTGGCAGCAAGTGGGTCCAGCGGTGGCACTCACCTTGCATCCTGCACACCCCCACTTGGTCCCCAGCACCATCATTGCCAGGGGTCACACCTGGAATAGTCCCTGAGCACCAGTGGCTGCACCCACCTTCAAACAAGGCAATCAGTCTGTCCAGTCAAACCTGAGGGAGGGGGTGTGCAGCAGGGTAGCCTTTGCTGAGCACTGGATGCCAGGGCAGAGCAGTGGGGTGGAGCAGGCCCACTGGGGCATCTTGGTTCCACATGTATCTGAATATGCACCAGGCCAGCGTGTCTCCAGGGTGACTCCCCATGCTAGCCCTTATCATGGACCAAATGCTTCCTGACATACCCTGATCCATCACCCAGAACTGTCTATAACCCGACTCAGGAACCAGTTGTGTGACCTTGGGTTAGTGTCTTAATTTCTCTGGGCCTCATTCTGCATGTCTCAGATGGGGATCATGTCCACATGCATCTCACAGAGCAGAGCCTGGATTGAGTCGGCCTTCACTTCAATTCAGGTTGCCGACCCCTGGGGCTATGGAGGGGGCCTCTGTGGGAGACTGGTGGGGATGCATGCACCCATGCACTACATGTCTGCATGTAGGTGTATGTGTGTGACTGCACGTGTACGGATGGGATGTGACCAAGCAATGGTCCTTCCCAGAGGGCCCCAGTGACCCAAGGAACAGTGTGCTGGGCGGGGGTAGGTGGCCGCGTGGGTGAGAAGGAGGTGACAGGAGCCTGGAGTATCCTGGAGTGGTTCACGTGCCACGGATCCGGGAGGGTGGGCCACAGTGCGCTGTAAGGGAGCAAGAGCTTCTCTGAGCCTCAAGGAGAGTCAGCACTGGGGGTGGGGTGGGGTGGGGAGCCTGCAAGCTCAAGTGGCCTGGGCACCTCAGCTCTGTGACCAGCAGGTGGCGCTCCATGCCTGTCCATGGATTTACCCCTCCGCCCTCTGCTTCCAAGGGGCAGGTTAGCGGCTCCCCAATGTCAGAAGCTGGCACTGCTCACTGCAGGCGGACCTGTGTGTGGACATGGTCCCCATGGACCTGCAGGTGCCAGGCTGCTAGCCCTGCACAGCTCCATGGCTCAGCGTTCCTGTCCTGGCAACTCCCATGGGTCAGAAGCCTTTATTGTCACGGGCCTGACATCTGTCACCACACCCTAACTCTGATGCAGAAACCCAGAGAAGTAGGCTGTGCTGGGCCCGGGCGCCCCTCTGGGAGGGGAGGTGACCATTGCCTTTAAGCATCAGCCGTTTGAGTCCGCAGGACAATGACCATCAGATCTTTCAGCTTCTCAAACTGTCTCTCGCGGGGACCTGGCCCAGGAGATTTGCACTCACTGGCAGGGTGAATGAATGCATGCGGCGGTGCCTTCATTACTTCCTTGCGGTGGCCAGGTCTCAGGTCTCCAGCTCACAGGCACTCAGGACATGGAGCCTGATGCCTGGCCAGCCCAGACCCAGAGTGTGTCCACTCCATGCAGTGCTGTTTGGCCAGCCCCAGCCCCGGGACCACTCAGCTCCTGGGCCCTTATCTCCCTGAGGTGCCCAGAGGTCGGAATCCCAAAAAGTTTGGTAATGGGATTTTCAGAGGTTGGGACCTTAGAATTCCTAGGGACTGTGGAATCTCAGAGTTGGAAAGTTTCCCTCCTCCGGCTCTGGGATGTGTGCCAGAGGCCGCTGGCCGGGCCTTACATGTCTCCGGGCCCGCACGCTCACTCCTCTACCTCTGGACTTCCTCTCCGAGGCCCTGAAGTCGGGGTCCCCCGAGTCCAAAGTCAGCACAGCTGCGTCCCCAGAGCCTGCCTCCAGCTCTTCCCCCGTCCCAGCTCCTCCCTCAGCTCTGCCCTCCTGGTTTTCTTGGGGGTATTCTGCTATCAGCTTGGGGTCCTTGTCTTGCTGCAGGCCCAGCACTGGGACACAGGGGCCAGTGCTGGGCCTGCAGCAAGTGGTCTTGCGAGTGGTCCTGGGCATCACCTTCAGTCCACCAAGGTGAGCTCCTTCCCCACCCCCCTCCTCCCCTGGGCCCCAGGGGCAGGCTGGCTGGGGACAGTCACTCATGTGACATCTGGAGTGTGGTCAGTGCCCCGTCTCCTGCCCAGCCTGTGCTGTGAGTGCCCGCTGCGTTTCAGGGCCTGTGCTGGGCTTGGGGCCACGCAGGAGCAGAAAGTCTCAGAGCCTGCCCTGCCAGCTCCTGCTGGGGGTCGGGAGAGAGCAGAGTAAGTGCTTAGGGCCCCCCCTGACTGGGAGAGAGGCACTGTAGGCCCAATGTCCCCCAGGACCCCAGGAAGGTCCTATCTTCACAGCACCTGCGCTGGATGGAGAGTCCAGGCCACACTGCCCAAGGGTCCAGGCTCCCTGGCTGGGGTCACACAGCTGAGGGGGGTAAGCTGGTCAGTTCGAGCAGTTTCTGGACCCTGCTCTGTGTCCTGTGACAGGGCTGCGAGGGAGGTCACACCATGCCTGAGGGGTGTGTGTGTGTGTGTGTGTGTGTGTGTGTGTGTGTGTGTGTGTTCCTCTGCCCTGCCTGCCACTGAGGTGTCCCTCCACTCAGACCCTGTACATTTCCACGCGGGGCCCTGCCACCCCAGGAACCGCTGTGGAGGCCACTTGTCCCCAGCTGAGCCGTGTGGTGTCCCTGCTGCGGGGATGGGGGAAGGGGGCTTCAGGGAGGGCAGGCGGCCCGGGGGTGCGTGTGCCCTGGGACCCCGGCCGGGGCGGGGCCAGGCCGCCCCCAGGTGTCTGGGAGTAGGGGTGCAGGGCGGGCGCGCAGGGCCCCGGGGATGCGAGTGCGGGGCTTGGGGCGCGAAGCGGGCGGAGAGCTGGGGCCCGGGCGGGGGCCTGGCCGGGGGCCCGGGGGCGGGGGGGCGCGGGGGCGGGGCCGGGGGCGCCCGCAGCCGCCCCGCCCCGCGCCCCTCCTCCCGCCCCGCCCGCGCTGGGGGCGGCCGGCGGCGGCGCACGCTTCCTGCGGGCGCGGCGGCTGGGCGCGGAGCTGCGAGGCGGAGCCGGGCGGCCGAGCCGAGCCCCAGCCGAGCCGCGCGTCGCCGCCGCCGCCGAGCAGCCGCCCCGCGCCCGCGCTCGGGAACAAAAGGCGCCGCCGCCATGAAGCCGGGGCCGCCCGGGGCCCGCGCGCTGCTGCCGCCGCCGCCGCCGCCGCCGCTGCTGCTGCTGCTGCTGCTGCTGGCGGGCCGCGCCGCGGGGGTGAGTGTCGCGCGGACCCCGCCCCGCAGCCGGGCCCGGCCGGCCGGCCCGCCGCCCCCCGCCCCCGCCGCGGGCCGGGCGCGCCCAGGACTCCCCCGGGGGTCGCGGCCGGGATCGGGGCCCGCGGGAGGAGGGGCGCGTGAAGGTGATCCGAGGGGGTGTGAGCGTGACCCGCGGTGGCCGCCGCACTTGGGATGCTGGGACCCGTGGGCGGACGCGGGCAGGGGAAGGGCCGAGGACGTGCCCGGCACCTGGGTGGGCGCCGCCGCCCTACGTGCGTGTGTGTGTGTGTGTGTGTGTGCGCGCGCGCGCGCGCGCAAGCGCCTGCGTGTGTGTGTGTGTGTGTGTGTGTGTGTGTGTGTGTGTGTGTGGCCGCAGGCTGGTGACCCATTGTGCCTGACGTGTGTGCTCGGGACAGCGCTGGGTGGCTGCTGGCCGAGGCCGTGGGAACGGGCGGGGTGATGGGGGGCCCGCTGGTGGGCGTGTGCCGGCCCCGGAGCACGCGGGCGCGGGCATCCGAGTGTGCCCGCCTGTGCCCGCGCCGCACCCCTTAGCCCCGCATGCAGGTAGAGGTGAGTGTGTGCGGGGTGACCGCTGAGTGTCCCTTTGAGAAGCCGTCGGAGCTGAGCCTCCATCCCAGCTCAGCTCGGGGAGCAGAGCCCAAGGAGGGGGCAGGGGGAGGGACCGTGCCCGGGTTGGAGCCCTGCGAGTTCCCTTGTGGACACGTGGCTGGGGCCGGCTGAGCGGGGCGCTGCTTCCAGGCCGAGACTGGCCCATCCCCACGACATTGGGTCAAGCCTCTCAAGCAACCCGGCCTCTCCTCCCTCTCCCCTCCCCCAGACGATCTGTCCCACAGGAGGGGCTGAGGGGCTGACTTCTCGGCCATGCTCTGGTCGGCCTTCCCCATGTTGAGCCTGCTGAGGAGGGAGGGCCTGGCTGGCACACCCCTTTTCTCGGGAGGTGGAGGGGAGGGACTCAGCTGCCCTGGATTTGGGTCACTTTCTCCACCCCATTCTCCAGCACTGTCTCCTGTCAGGAACTTGGAAATCTCTCCCCATTCACTGCCCGACCTTGGTCTGTACCCTGCCTCCGCTTCCCCTCCTCAGGGCCAGGACTGTCAGGATGGAGACTAAGGGAAGGGTCCTGGGGGCCTGCGTCTTCCTGATGACCCTCAGTCCTTGGTGCTGTGGGGGGATCTGATTTAGGGTAGGGACATGGTGCAGACCCCCCCAGCTCTGCCTCCCTGATGCTCTGGATCTGTAGGAGAGAGGGGCGGGGCTCCAGATAATGTGGGGAGGGGGCTCTCTGCAGGCTCCCTCCCTCCCCTCGATGGTGTGTGTGTGGGGGTAGCTCCTCATCTGGCCCGAGCACAGTCTCAGAGGAAGAGGCACAGCTGCAGCAGGGAGGGCTGGAGTGAGGGCTGAGGACCCAGCTCCGGCCAGCCTGATGGGGGAGGGGCCTCTAAGGACATCAGCAGGACAGGTGGGGACAAGTGCTGTCCTGCTCTCTGGCTTCTGCACCAAGGGGTGGACTCTGGAGGGTCAGGCCACCAGACACCGAGAGTGCCTGCTGCAGGCCTGCCTCCGCCCCCGCCCTGAAAGGCGCCGGGGCATTCTGGGGCTCTGTGCCTTTCCAGGGGCTGATGGCGTTTTAGGTGTTCCTGAGCAACTCTCAACACTTGCTGATTTCTTGCTCTTACAGGTTAGGGAGCAGGAAGGGAGAGAGACATGTGAGGGTCCCTAGGGGGTGAGGGGCTCTCCTGAGCCCCTGTCCAAAAGCCTGGGGCTCCCTTCTCCTCCTTCCAGCTGCACCAGGCTTGTCCTCAGGACTTAAGAACTGTCCCCCTAAGGCTCAGTGGACAGAGACCTGCTGTGTGACTTTGGCAAGGAATTCCTCTCTCTGATTCAGCTTCCAGTCCATAAAATGGGGACAGGAACTGAGCCCCCTCACAGTGGGGTGGTTAGGGGAAGGAGCTCCTATGGTGGGCTGGACAGTGACTTTCATGCTGCGTGGGCTACAGAAATAAGGCCCTTCCCTGGTGGAGCTGGGGTGTTCACCAAGGACTTCCTGGAGGAGGAGGTGTTGAGGAAAGCTACACTAAGCAGCTGCAGTTCTCCCAGCCACCTGGCAGGCTCAGCTGTCCACTGGGGATAAATCCCAATCAGGACTGTGATTGAGGGTGACCGTCATCCCTGCAGATTTGAGAAAGGTATTGGAAGCAGCTTGGTATTTCCAGCTGTGGGTCTCTTTCCGTGACCTCCATCGGGGAGCAGAGAGGGATGGGGTTTGCTGGAGAAAACGCTTGGATTCTGGAAAGCAAAGGCGTCCTCTTACTCCTGGGCTGGGGGCCCGGCCCCTGGCAGTCCAGGGCAGGGCTAAGCCTGGGCTCTGGCAAAAGGAGGGGACCGCAGGGTTTATCCTGGAGGCAAGACAGCTTTCCCCAGACGCCAGGGCTGGCCCTGGGCTTCCCCTCCTGCTCTTCCTGCTGCTGCTGGGAGCTCCCCCAACAGCTGCATGGGGGAGCCGGCTGGATCCTTCTGGAAGGAACAACAGTTGGATTCCTGCAGACCAGAGCTGCCTGGAGGGAAGGCGGGGCCTGCGGGCAGGATTTGGGAGCAAGTTGTCCCCCAGGGCTCCCTACAGGGCCCCCAGCGCTTATGCAGCCTGTCTGCCCCCCACTGCTCCTCCACAGGGGCTCAGTGATCCCTCCAATCACCTCAAGGGCAGAATGATCCGAACCCCCCTGGAGAGATGAGGAAACCAAGGCCCAGGGGGATTAGGCAGCTTGCCCTGGGCTGCCCGACTGCAGAGCAGATGGGTGGAACTGGCTGGGTCCAGCCTCTCTTGAGGTGTGATCTTGGACCACTTCAATTCTCAGAGCCTCTCCCCTGTACCCCAGTTATGCTCACATGATCTGTTTCCTACGTGCCAGGAATGCCCTGCTCTTCCCACACTGACCCCCACTTTGGAGTGGGGAGGGCCTGGCCCTGCCTCAGGGCTCTGAGTGTCCAGGGGCCGGTAGGTGGTGGGGGAGGGGGTCAGTAAGGTGAGAGTGTGTAAACCAGATTTGAGAGGGCGCCCAGGTCTAGCCCATGTGATTGTGGCACAGGACGGGGACTGTTAGGACCTCAGGAACCCCCAGCCCTGAGCCTGAGTGGGGAACACTCTGCCTTGGTCTCCTTTGGCCCAAATCCCTGTCCCCAGGGACCCGCCCCCAAATCCTGGTCCCAGTGCACCCCACATTCTCTCCGGCCTGAGTGACAGAGGCTCAGAGAGGGGTGGGGGTCCCCCAGCAGGCAGGAGACACGTGAGGCAGTCCTTAAGGGATGAGAGCTGCCTGGTGCAGGCTCTAGGGGTGCTCTCCTCGAACCCCCTGGGCCGTCTTTGGTGTCATCTTAGCAGAGACTGGTGTGAGTGAGTGAGTGGGTGAGCGAATGAGTGAAGGAATGAGTGGGTGAATGTGTGAATGAGTGAAGGAGTGAGTGGATGAATGGTAATGAATGGAGGTAGGCAGGACTGTGTGCGTTGGAGCCCAGCTGGACTCTTCTCTGGAGGTGTGGACGGTGAGGTGGGCAGGGCCAGGCTGGGTCTAAGGCGCCGTGGGCCCCAGTCAGGCCTGCGGTCTGAGGGCCTGGGCTGGGCCCCCTCATCTGCGTGGGACCCAGCGCTGTGGCTCTGGGCTCCAGCCCAGCTGCAAGGCGCCCTGTGATTTTGTGTCTGGGGCGGGGGTGGGGTCAGGGCAGTCCAAGTGAGAAGCTGCCTCTGGGCTCAGTCCCTGCTCCCCCCTTCCCCTCTTTCAGCTCACTTTAGAGGGGGGCGTGGGCTGGCCTGTGCTGCCTCTACACACAAACACACATGCACACACACACACACACACACTCACAAACGTGCACGCGCATACACGCACACACACACACATATATACACCCCTCTAGCCCCTAATGGCTGTTCTGTGCTTCCACTACACACACACACAGACACACACACACAGACGCACACATGTGCACGTGCACACACGTGTGCACACACACATGCACACACATGTGCGCGCACACACACACACACACACACACACACCTCTAGCCCCTAATGGTTGGTCTGTGCTTTCCCTACACACACACGCACACACACACACGCCATGCTCACACGCACGCACACACACTCACACGCGCACATACACACATGCTCACATGCACACACATACACACCCCTCTAGCCCCTAATGGCCCACCACATCCTGGGAATCTCAGGTCTGCACCCAGGAGTCTTTGCTGGTTGTCTCTCACTGACCACTGCCCAGGCAGGCAGCTGCATAGCCTTCTCTTCCGGCCCCCCTTCTTTCAGAGCAGACCTTGGCCAGAGGGAGGGCTGCTCCCTCCCCCACTGACCAGACCTGGCCTCGGTGCCAAACAGGAAGCCATGATTACGGGGGAGACTGACTGGGAGACTGACGGGGGAGACTGACGGGGAGACTGACGGGCAGTGGCTGAGGGCCTGGCTCTGGGGAAGGGGTGGGGGTGGCAGCTGAGGCTGAAGGGCAGGGGGTGCAGGTGAAGACTGACCTTTCAGGGTTCTGCTCTAGATGCTCAGGTCTGTCTTCTGCTACTCGGGGCCCCCCTCTGAGCACTGGTGCTGTGTCTGTTTGGGGCTCTTAAGCCCCAGGGTGCAGTTTGAGATTGTAGATGGAGAAGAGGCCCATGGGCCAATGAGACCAGGATTGAAATTCTGTTCTGCAAATTTCTTTTTTTTTGGGGGGGGGGTCATACCCGGCAATGCTCAGGGATTATTCCTGTTTCTACACTCAGGAATTATTCCTGGTGGTGCTCGGGGGACCATATGGGATGCCGGGGATCAAACCCAGGTTGGTCTCGTGCAAGGCAAACACCCTACCTGTCGTGCTATTGCTCCAGCCCCCGTATTCTGCAAATTTCTTGCTTTGTGATCTTATTAAATTCACTTGCCCTCTCTGAACCTCCGTCTTCATTCAAATGCAGTCAAAA